CTTTGGTTTTATTTGCAGGAATGTGCGGTAATGTTTTAATCCTAACGAATTGCCCTCTGAGGACTGTTCTGAATAGACCAGCTGTCAGTAATTACACAATGAATTCAAGGGCACTGTCTGCTGGGCCCAGCAAGTCTGACCTTTAAAACAAATACACTCCTGGGCAGCGGAGCCAATGACGCCTGCTTTCCTACTCGCCTTTGTATCGCGTTTGAGCTCATTTGGCTTACAGCTGGGTGGTATTCAATGAGAAGGGATCTCACACCAGTGGCAACGTAGATGGTATTTGTCACTTCGAATGTGATACCTGTTTCAGTGAGTCTGATATTAACAGCTCTGGGGCTACGCCACCTCTGCAAATCTGACTGGATCCATCTCTGCAGTTATTCCAGAAGGAGAAGTGGAGATGGGACCAGGAGACTCAGACCCACACCTCTTGATGAGGAAGTTGGGCCCAAAATCTCCAGCTGTATCAGTAGTGAGGGGCAGGAGCACATCCACTGCTGGAGGCCCCCTTGATGGGAAAGCCAGGAAATGTCCTGCTAGTAAGAACAAGGGATGGAAAACTGTGCTGCAGCTACATCAGAGCACTGACTGCATCCTAGAAGCCTTGCAGGTCTCAGAAACGGGTGTCATGAGGAAGTGTTGGCATCCGAGGCCTTGATTTTTAACATTTTTCTTATTTTTTAACAGATTATAAAAATACCTGCCAAGAGTGTCTTGTGTTTTAGTGTCTAGATGCATTCTTGAGGTCTTGCCAAGCCTGTTTTCTGCTGATCTCTGCAAAGCATTTCCTAAGAAACATGACATCAAGCAGGAAAAATAATAGACCCTTTAATGCCCTGAATTTCCATGGCAGGGGGACATCTTCAGAAATGTGCTTTTAGGTCAGGGAATGTCATTAAGATGCGTTGGCTTCACAAGGACAGGCCAGACACCAGGGGTGAGCTATAGTTTAGTCCTTCTCCACTAACTGCCATTGGTTGAGTTGCTTGATCTAATAAACCTGAGATGACAAATTAACCTGTATCTTTACTCTTCCTACCCCTGCAGACCTGGGATGATGAGCTGGAAAGATCAGCCCACGCCTGGGCTCAGCAGTGCATCTGGGACCATGGGCCTAGTGCCCTCATCAGGTCAATTGGACAGAACTTGGCGGTTCACTGGGGCAGGTAAGAGTTGAGATGCTGCAAACTCAATGAAAAATGCGATTTATGGATCCTCCTTTAGAGCCAAGGGGAAAGGTTTGCCTTGTTGATGCTTGGTATATTTATTTTTTTCAACTTCTTGGCAAAGTTTTTAATCTGAAGCTGTTAACCCAGCAAGGAAAACTGATGTTAAGGCTACCAGATGGATTTGCCTTTCCATCTCATGGTGAAATCTGTTTATTGTCAAGCTTGTTATCGGTTAAGTTTGCTTTGTGGGGCAAACATTTTGTATGTGGAATGGGTGGAAATGCAGTTGTTCTTGTTGGAAATCAGATAGAACTTGCTTGAAAGCAATGGAAATTTGCTGGTGCGAAATTGGCCTGATATAAAAATCAGGCTCATTTTTGTTGGCAGAATCAAGTAATGATTGGAAAGTAGTGGTTAATCCACTGGAAACAAAGTCAAAATATCGGGCTGTTCTTGGCTCTCCAACGAGAGACATCCTGTTCGAGATGGCCATGGGTTACTGGTGGAGGTAGATCCAATCTTGCTCCCTTTGCAGTCACTGAGAGGAAAAAGAAATCAGTTTTATCTCAGATTTTTCAGGAACGAGCTGTAACTTGATTGCCTCAATTTCCTCTCCTGTGAAATAGGACTCGGAAAGTATTTGCTTAATGACATCACGAGATTAATATTCTTAAAATACTTGTAATGACTGATTTCTTAATGAAGAGTTGGCTGAAAGAACGAACTCCAGTTGGTAATGATATAATTTGTATTTCTGGCCGCTTGCTCCATGTGACCTGTTGAAAGCAATAAAAAGCAGTGGGTTTGCTCCGCTTTGGTGCGGAGTTTGCAGATCGCTCCGTTTGCTCACCGTGTACATGGCATGCAAAATGCATATGGGTTTCTGTAGGTACTCTGAACACCATTCGTGTTCCCCAAAACAGCACAAGTAGCATCGGTGCTGCGATAGAAGAAAAGCTGGGGTACGTGTGGAGGGCACCAACCATTGTGCACCAGCCCTTGGTGTGATGTGAGTGTGAAAAGCCCACTCGTTTTCAAAAGTCTCACAGGATTGACTGCTAACGCGCTTCCAGATTTAGCAAATTGCCTGGTGGTAAAATAGGTACGCGATGGCTTTCGGTTGAAGATGTCTGGCAAACGTGGACTTGTGTTTGCTTTCAAAATACAACTTTCCGCCCAACTAGAAGTTTTCTGTAGTTGTGTGGAAAAGTCAGGAGGACATTTCAGGTCAGCGGCACTTGAGGAGCGAGTCAAGCCTATAAATAATACAGAAAGTCAGACTGGGCTGTGAATCCTAGGGAAAAAATAATCTTTAACATTTTCAATGAGATTTTTTTTGCCCTGATCATTAGGCCATGTTCCTGGGTTCTTTAAGCAACACCTTCTCAATGAATGGAACTTGCCTGAAGCAACTTTTACATAAAAACTAGCAAAATTCATCCTAAAAAAGATCTGTGCTTTCAGTGCGGCAGGAGGCTATGAAAACTTTTACCAGAACTTTTGGGATTTAAACTCTTTGCTCCTTCAGGTATCGGTCTCCAGCTTTCCACGTCCAGTCTTGGTATGATGAAGTTAAGGATTACACGTACCCATATCCTCACGAGTGCAACCCGTGGTGCCCAGAGAAATGCACAGGCTCCATGTGCACCCATTACACCCAGGTAACGGAGATGAAGGCATTTTGTACCTACACCCTCTACATTCCCCCATGTTCCCTTTGTCACTGCAATATGACGCTGCAAAATCTGCTTATTATCGACAATTGCATTGCATTTGCAGATAGTCTGGGCCACGACGAACAAGATCGGCTGCGCCGTCAACGTCTGCAAGCAGATGAACGTCTGGGGAGAAATCTGGGAGAATGCAGTCTACCTGGTCTGCAACTACTCGCCGAAGTAAGGCGGACGAGCTGGGCGCTCTCCAGCTTTCCTAAAACTGACAGGTTGCTTAACTCGCCGGGGATCTGGGGAAGAGATTTCAGGCAGTCTAGACTGGTGGTTGTGGCTTTAAATTTTCTCTTTAGACAGCAGCGCTGAGCTGGTTCGAGACTTCTGAGTGTTGCCTGGAAAACTGAATGAGGGGCTGGGGCCAGGCTGGGGCTTTGATGTTGCTGCCATGGGAAGGAGGAGCAGGAGATGGCCAGGACGGAGCTGGCGTGAGCTCCCTCGCTGCTGCTGGGACGGGATGGGGTGGTGATTTAGCACCGCTCAGCGCTGCTCCGGCAGCAGCCCGTGTACCCAGCCAGGTAGGCTGTGGTACCGGGACACGTTTTCACTCCCTCCCCTGTAAAATCTGCCGGTTGAAGGCAGCGCCGCTTCCTCCGAGGCTGGTGAAAGCAACGTGAGCTGGGGCCTGCTGCAAGGAGCTGCGAGAAGATAAATCCCAGACCCAATGAGCTCCCCGTGGCTTGAAAAAAAAAAAGTGAAATAGCTGAATCTTGACTAATGCAGTTAACTCGATTGTTTGATTAAATGTCAAACTGGAAATCACGTTTCTTGGCTATTACATCCAGAAGTTTCCTCCCTGGCAATGCCAATTAATATTTTCTGCTTTAATAGGAGAAACATTCCCACTCCCAGTTCTGGGTGATTTAAATCTTGGCAACAAAACAAAATGGGGAAATTGCTATCTACAAGTGTCAGAAGCTCTCCAAGCCGCTCCATCTGGAGATCATAGGGCAAAATAATGCAGAGAAGTAAGATGTGTGGGTACAGAGCTGGCAGCTCATAGCAGGACCCAGGCAGAGCCCTATGGGGGTGTCTAAGCCCCTCTCCCTGTGTTGGCTCTGGAGCACTTTACACCCTTGTTTTGGTGGGATTTAATAACTTTTAATATCCTTTTAATAAGGGATCATCCCATCTCCCATGGAGTTTCTGCAGCAGGCTGGGCTCTTTGCACATCACCGTTCACGGCTGCTGGATGGAAAAATACTCTGTTTCTGCAGTTTCTGCCTAATCTTTTCTCTCTGGCGTCGGTGTGCATTGTCCTCATCTACCCTTATAGGTGGAGACAGCTGAAAGAGCAATAACTGAAGGGTTCATAGCCACGGGCTGAACCTTCTCAGCTCCTGAAGTCTGCAGTAAAGGGTGCCAAAAAGGACTTTTTTTTCCTGGGTAGTTTCTTCAGAAAAATGCAATGATCCATTAAATTTACAGAAGATCAGTTTTTATGTTGGAGTTTATTGTAAAAGTGATATTGCATGCAATTTATCTAAGTAAACCCCTAAAAATATAATTTTGGAGGTAAGATGAGGAGGGACATTTTTCTTACAAGCAGCTTTATTGGGCCGGTTGGTCATGCTTAGCTGTGCTGGGCCAGGATGATGTTTCTGTGGCCTCAGATGTAAAACTGGGGACTTGAGAATGCCAGGTTGGGCAAGGAGAAGAGTGCAAGGCCCTGCTTTGGTTCCCAGATGATTTGGTGTGATGGACCATGTATTTCTGCTGGTTTTCTGTTTCGGAAATGGTTCCAAGTGGAAAATGGAGCAGCTTTTCAATGGCAAGAGCCGTGCCCATGCAGCTGCCCAGGGGTGTTGCAGAAAACAGTGGGAGTCTTGGGGCTGTGATGAACGAGGGGGATGAAGGCAAGCGCTGGGCAACCTTGTCCCCGTTTACAGCCCCCACTCAAGGATGAGCACAGCAGGAACACCCATTTCCCTTAATGCCAGGTGGTCTTGGGTGCTTGGATGAGTATGTGGGTGTCTGATGGGTGCTCATTGCTCCTCTGCCTGCAGGGGCAACTGGATCGGTGAAGCCCCATACAAAACCGGCCGTCCCTGCTCCGAGTGCCCGCCAAGCTATGGAGGAGGCTGCCAGAACAACCTGTGCTACAAAGGTACGTGCTGGGGGGCTTGGGGCACCCCTTTGTGTGGGGGAAAAGCCTGGAGCAAACTTATACCTGGAAACTTTTAATTAGAAGCAGCCGCAGCTTTACACACCTTTTAATTACCCATCCTTAATATTTCAACATCGCAGCGCGCGGTAAATCAGTGACTGCTGCTAAAACCAGGAGGAAAAAAAACCTCTGAAATGCTTAAAATCTCGATGTGTTTTCCCTGGTGAAAATGTGAGCTCGGGTTGGGGGGAAGCTGCTCTGAGCTTGCATGGGTTTGGCTCGGGAGCTCCGACAGGGTTTGTTTGGGAAGGGAATGTTCTCCGGCGCTTACTGCAGCCGACGTGGGTGGGCAGAGCTTGGCCGCTGGCCCCGCTCCTTCGGGGGCCAGGGACGGAGCGTTTCGCTCCCTCCCCACCTTGGTTTTCATGGCTGCAAAATGAATGCAGCGATTTCGTGTCTCTTGGAGGAGAGGAAGGGATCGTGGGCTGGTTTTCCTGACCTGTGGAGTTTTCTCGGAAGAGAGGTCAATAGAGTGAGAAATATTAACACCGAAGTCTCCAGTGAAGCCGTGCTACCTCCCCTGGCACGTGGGATTTCTTGGAGTCGTGCATTGAGGGCATTTTTCTTTTGCCGTGTGTTTTCCTTCAAGGAGAACCGGGCTCTTAGAAACAGGCAGTTTCCCTGGAGACTTGCCCAAAGCAGAGGCTTACTTTGCTGTAGTGTTGTATTAATCATTTGAGCCTGGAGTTGGGGGCCAGGGGGAGGTTCTTGGTGTGCAGGTGGGGAGGGGATGCCCCGGTGGTAGAAAGCCCTCTTAGAGCCACCATCCATCATCCTTTGGTGTGCACTGGTCCTCTCGCCATTGCCAAGGATGAGAGCGGGGCAGGATTTTGGGTAGGAGCAGCCAAGCTGAATGAATTTTCCAGAATCCCTTGGCCCAGCTAATTTGTGTTTTCCTCCAGGGAGAAAGAGCTCTATGGGAAACAGAAGAAATATCAGCACTAATTTTCCACTAATAAGCGGGGATCATTTCAAACCTTTGTTGTAAGATGCTCTAAATGGTTTTTTTTGTCCAGAGGAGCAGGAGAGGAGCGGATTTCCCCTCCTGGTTCTGAATTTAATGGGTGCTTTTGAATTCCCAACTATTTAAAAGTAGATCCTCTACTTTTCAAACCCAACCATCTTTCTCAAGATACGAACCTTGCTGGCTTCCCCATCAATGCGAACACGCTGTAATTATTTTTAACCCCTTTTTCTACCAAGATTACCATTATCAAGATCCCATAATCGCTGAGACCGATGAGACGAACGAAGTGGAGATTTCACAGGTTGTGGAGCAAAATCCAGTGCGGTTCTACCCCCCGGAAAACAAGCCCAGCAAACCCATCAAGCCCAGGAAAATCAACTCGGACTCCTACATGAGTAAGACGCCCTCTTTCTTCTTCAGCTCCTTTAAGTTTTAAAGTACCTTTATGGGAAAAGGTGTGGAAAGTGATGAGGATTCTCAGTAAAAAAGCAACTGGGAGGATTTTTTGAGTGGAGGAGGGGGTAAACTGTGCAAAAATTCACTGTTAATTATAGCAGAAGCAGGGGGCAAAGCTTTCAGAAGCCACTTGTGCCTTCTGCACATCCATCTGCAAGAGTTATTTGTTCTTTTGAGCCATCTCAGGGAAGTACCAATGAACCAAAGCTCCCCAGATCAGTAGTAACTTCATGAAACACTGAGTTTATTTCCCATTTTAAATACTCTACACTCAGCAGTTACCACCTTTGCAGCTTTTCTGGGTTTTTTTTAGTTAGATCCTTTTTACTTCTTGCTTGGGAAGATTTCTAAAGTTATTTGTGGAGCTGGTAGCACTTCCTCTGTTGTTTTCTAATCACTGTTAATTAAAAGAGACTTATTGTGAAAACAAGGTGAGGCAAGCCAACGCATCCTTTTCAAGTTTATCTACTGGCATCTCCAGAGTCTGTAATTATGTGGAGAATGAGAGAGCTCTGGCTGCAGACCTGGGGCTGTAAATCAAAGCCTTCAGCTGTCAGATGCTTCTTCCTTGCTAATATTTCCAAAGACACCTGTCCCAGGTGAACTAAAGCTCAGGAGGCACCAAGTGCTCCAGGCTGGGTGGTCTGTGATAGGATTTTATCTTGCTGTACCAAAGACCTCCAGGAAAGGTGCATGGTGGTTGCTCATCTCCATCGTTCGAGTGCAGGCCATGGCAGTCTCTTTCCTCTTTAAATTTTTTCTTTATTTTGTGTTATTTTACTCCAGCACAAGTCATTACCTGCGACACCAAGATGAGAGACAAATGCAGAGGCTCAACGTGCAACAGGTAGCGTTTTACTGATACCTCTTGGAGCCTTGCGGGGAAAAGTAGACTACAAATTGGTTCTTGCAAACATGGGATAGGCTGTATCTTGTATTGTTTTTGTGACTATCTAGGTGTAGATCTCTTTTGAGAGAAAAAAAAAAAAAAGCCTTAATTTCTCCTACTACAAAGCCTTCAGCCAAGCCTAGCAATAGGGTGACTCAGTTTATTTCATTCGGCCGTGATGACCCGCAGTTCCAGGTGTCCAAAATCACTTAATAGATTTTGGCAGAGTCAGTTTTGAGCCTATTTCCATGCATTCCACCGCTGTCCAAGCCAGACCAATAATTTATGGCTTGTCCCCTCCCAGCCTGTCAAGAACTTCTGGTTAAGGTTTCTGCAAAGAACGGGACAGTTTATCACTTGGAGAAACCCCAAATCCACAGAATCTAAATATTGGTCGGGCTTTCAAGGAGGGTGGAGAAACTGTTTTAAAAAGTAGCTATTTTGCAATCCTGTTTTTAAATGGAAGAGTTACGTGAAATGAATGGAATGACTATTAAATGAAATAGAGTCAAAGTCTGTTTTTCTTGAATTGTTTTTTCGCCACCCTCTAAGATATATATCTTCGCTAGGTATTTGTGCCCAGCTGGCTGCTTGTACAGTAAGGCAAAGATCTTTGGAACATTTTATTACGAGAGTGTAAGTACCTTTTAATAGCTCATAGATGTAATTTGCGGGGAGTTAGGGGTAATCACAGAAATGGGAAATGCCAACCATTCTAGTGTAATTTGGCGTTTCGCGTCCTCCTGTTGTGGTGGCGTAAAACGGTGCTAAGAGAGGTTATCTGTATTTTCCTCATCTTAGTGATGAAAAAAGAAGCAGTCTGGAAAGGCAAAGTGATTCCAGACTTGATTTTAGCCATGAGTGCCCTTAATGTGCAAGGAAACCCACGGCAAGGGAGGGATGGGGATCAATAGACAGCTCCTACAAAGATCTCTTTATTGTGGGCAGCTGTCATGGTGAACAGAAACTTTATATGGAAAACACTGTTAAATGCTGTAACTAAATAATATTTTGGGCCAACTCGCTGGATCTTGAATTAGCAAGAGAATTTGTAAATAAAGCATGGCACTGTTTTCCCATCACAACTACATTTGGGGTGAAGAAAGGTTGAATATAAGAGGGTTTTTGTGTAAAAGCATGTTTGCTTTCCCCATTCTCACTGCTAGGATATGACTGCATCGCCCATGATACAGCTTTACCCCTGCAAATTCTGCAGTTGCAGTCAGCCACCTCCTCCAAGTGGTTTCAGCAGAAATATTTTGGGTTTCAATAGTTTGTTGAGAGCCGGAAATATTTCATAGCGGTCATTAAATTCCAATGTTGCTTTTCTTCTAAATTGTACCTAAATGTACGGTTTTGTTATTGAAAAAAAGCTTGCCATTCAACCAGGCAGTGCTTAAAATAATAATGATAATAATAAATAGTAATAATAATAGTAGTAATAATAATAATAATAGAATAAGTTTGTGTTGGGAGAGTAAGATTTAACAACCAGATTCCAAAGGCCTGTACTCAGTTTATTTTCCATTTGGCGCTTTGCTGGTGGTTTCATTTCTCCTTCATTTTTTTGGTTGGTCAGCATTGCTCTGTGAATGAGATTTATTTCACGCTCTCTTTGTGTCTGTATTTCTGTCAGTCATCGAGCATCTGCCGTGCTGCAATTCATTACGGCATCCTGGACAACAAGGGAGGACTGGTGGATATCACGAGGAAAGGGAGGATGCCGGCTTTTGTGAAGTCCACCAGGAATGGCGTGGAGTCTTTTAGGTACTTCATCTTCATTTAAAAAAAGTGTTTGTGTTAAATGTAAGCAGATGTTTGTTCCTCACATGTAGACATGGTGACTCAAGTCATTCTGGTTGCTTATTTTTTTTAATGAATGTTTTTTGTTTTGCAGGAAAAGCAAGCCTTCAAATGCATTCATGGTTTCCAAAGTCACAAGTAAGTTTGAAAACTTGGGAAGAAATCATTATTGCTGGAGTTTTATGGGCCACCTAAAACCACCATTCCTTATAGGGCTCTTTTTCAATTTAAGTGGCCGTGTCAAATGGTTCAGTACCACAACTAAACCCTAGGGTTGATAGGATTGGGTGATCCATCACCCGTCATGGGCAATTCCACCATCAACCACCTCGGTTTTCTGTGGGGATGTAGGAGGAAGGTGCAGGAAAAGGTGATAACGAGCAATTTCCAGGAGCATCTCCTGGTGATGGATCACTGGGGGTCCAAACATCAGCTGCAGTGTCACAAGCCGTGATAATAAAGTGATGGAAGATGAATCATCCTTGTATGAACACTGAAAAATTAGTACCTAATATAATAGTGCAGTAGTATAATGAAACACATAATAGACACAAATTTGGTTTATAACAGTGAGTCATCATATTTAAGATGACCATATAAATAAATACTGTTATTATAAATACTATACTCCACATATAAATAAATGTGGAGTTCTACTTTTCAACAGTTCCCACTTTCTGAATATCTTTAAATGTGAATAATTCTTCCTCCTTCTCTATGTAATCAGCATTTTGATTAGCTCCACTTGTGCCACTTTCAGGGAAAATTATTGGTGTTGGGTTATTTGGGCCCCATGTCTGGAGGTGTAGTAGAAATACACAGTCTCGTGGGCCAGCTGCTGTCCTCTTTGGAAAGCTGTGACCTTTTTAAGGCCATATTGTAGTGAGGTATCAGGACTTCTGCTGGAGAGCTGGTCAGCCCCCTCTTAGGTGCACAACACTGGTAATGGAGCTGCTCTCCTCAGCTGAACGTGGATCTCACCAGATGCGTTGCGTGACTGTGACTTGTGTTTTCGGCAGCTGCCTGAGCTATTAGGTCTCGTAATTTGCCTTTTCATATTTATTTCTGCAGCACAGACGCTGGATTGCTATACTACAGTAGCTGAGCTGTGCCAGTTCAAGAAGCCGGCGACCCATTGCCCGAGGTAACGGCGTGCCCTGACCATGAGCCTGCTTGTGTTCAGCTTAAACCCTCGCTGCTTTGAGGATGGAGGATGCTGAGGTCCCCAAATCTGAGGGCTGGCAGAAACTGAGCTGATTTTACCCAATAAACTGGAGGGAGGGGGTTGGGAATCACACGTTTCCTCCTGCCTCTGGTGCTTTTCTTGGAATCGGAATTGAAAATTGTGCTATAAGTCAGGCTACGCGATCCTGTCTAAGCACACCTCTATGCATGAGTGTGCAGCTTCGTACTCTGCCTTTATTCTCCTGCACTTGCTGGTTTTCGGATGAGCTTTTCCTTTCCACTTTAAAACATGGAAGCAATCTGTTCTAGAAAGCTGCTTTTTGCAGGTGTAAGTTGTGGCAGGGCAGGGAGGCACAAATACATGCAAATAATTATGACTACAGCATTGTGCAAAAATACAGCTATTTCCCTTTGTAAATGTTGTAAATGATCACTCTTTTACTCATCTAAACCCCTCTATTTGCAGTTTTGCAGTAACTACCAAATGTCATCTGAGGGGAACAAATAATTAAATTCACTGTTGCCACCTGCAGACCAGATGCAGGCACTTGAAATCTCCCAAGAATGCGGCTTGCTTTCCTGTTGAGCCCTGATATAGAGAATAACTATGAATAAATTGTTTTCTAGGATTTATTGTCCAGCCCACTGTAAAGACGAGCCATCGTACTGGGCACCGGTGTTTGGCACCAACGTTTATGCAGATGTGAGTATGCTCCTTTCCATGTTGACCCCGTGTACCACGATGTCTGTACCGGCACTGACTTATTCTTATGGACGTGGCCATGTCACTTAACCTCTCTGGGCCTTTAGGGTTATGGCTGTGAATTGTTGGTAGCGTTGATCTGCCATGGCAAAGTGTTTTGGGATCAGCAGATGAGCACCAAAGGGCTTTTTATTCTATGCTGTCACACTGTATAGTTGGTAAAAATAGATTTTCTTCCCCCTCCCTGGTCATCCTCATCCTGGGAGCTGAACAGCGTTTTTGAGCAGCAGAAAGAAAGCATGCGAGTTGGTTTTGTTGGTTTGTTTTTCTAAACTCTGCTCGTGGGGATGAGCAGAGGCTCGATGCTAAAACTAGGCAAAGAGACATTTTTTTGAAATCTCTTAATATTAGGCCTCTAAATACCGGTTTTCAATGTTTTTCCATTTGCGGGTACTTCTCTTTTTTTTTTTCCTCCATTGGAGATTGTGTTTGGAAATGCCAGCTCTCTGGCTGCTGTGTAGCCTGTAGGAACGTGCTTTTGGATGGCCTGAGGGAAGCAGTCGGAGAATCGGGGACCCCCAGCTCGGGGAGGAAAAACATCCTGAAGAAATCATACAATAAATTGGGACAAGCGAATTTTAAAGCAATTAAAAACTCCTATTTTTTAAATTTTATTTTACTGAAGATCAATGTTTTTAAAGGTAGAGCTGCACAAACAGGTTAACCCAGACCAGCTCCCATGCAAATTCATCAGGCAGCTGCCACCCTGTTGAACCTGCCCACATGCATGCTTCGACCTGCAGGAAATGGGAAATAGTTTTTCTCTTTTTTTCTGAGGACAAAACTACCTCAGATTACCCCCAAACAGGGCCTGCAATTACAAGGGCATTAGGTGAGGACCAGCATCCCAGACTGGTGCTGTTTCCTGATTTGTGCTGACGCAAAAGGATTAGTGTCCTGTAATGAATCGCAAGCTCCATTTCCTACCGTACCTCCTGGGTATTGTTTCATAAGTGGGGGCATGGACCATGATTTGGGAGGAAAATAAAATAGAAGGGGGGAAAAAATGTATTTGGCCACTTCCTAGAGGGTTTAGTTAACCTTTTTTCTGGACTGCTGCACTAATAGGATTATGTGGGTGTAATAAGGAAAGCTTTTAAGGTATTTATGAGAGTGTGATTGGTAGCAAAGCAGGTGAAATCAGCTGGGAAAAAGGAGTTTGAAGTGGCTGTGAAATGAGTGGTGAAGGGAGAAGGATCGATACTGAGAAATGCTCAGGTTGGAAAGCTGACAAGAGAATCACATGTACTGTGCAGGAAGAATTTGGGCAAAGGCTTTTCCCGAGCAGCACGGGCTGTGCAGGATGCTCTCCAGGAGGGGATGCTGTGAATTAACCCGAGCCTGCATCCAAGGAATAATTACAGCAGGCAATGAGCTGGGTGAGACAAGTGCGAGTCTCCTTGGCTTTGTGTCCAAGGTAGCACCTTCGTGGCCCTGGGGCACTTGTGCTCCAGCTCTGTCTTGTTAAATAAGTTACACTAAAAGAAAATGAAGCATTTTGTCCCATTTTCAGTCTGCGCTCCCCGTAAGCTGCCCTCTGGCCTTTTAACACCTTCTCCAAAACATCCATTTGTTAAATGCTCTGACAGGTAAGGAGCTGATAGTCCAAGGTGTGCTGACAAAAATGCTTGGCTTGTCCGTGTGATGAGCTGATTCACTGTGCTTTTGGCCTGAGATAGCATTGACATTCACATGATCCCAGGAAGGCACGTGAAAGTTTGTTTTGCCATGAAGAACAAAGCTGTGACATGAAGAACTGGCAGTTTTTTGTGGGATAATTCTGATTTTTATTCATAGGGCATAGGAGCTGCTGTCCCAGTTTGGGTAAAGGGATTTTTACCCACTTTAAATGCATTCTGATTGTTTCATTGGAGTTTCTTTTGGGTGTTTTTTTGTTTGTTTTTATTTTAAACTCATCATTATAAAATTATCTTGGATTATGTGTTTATAACATTATCTCCTGGGTACTCCTGGTGGCTTAAAGTGCAGACATATTGGCAACTTTTGCTTTAAAAAGGAGAGCAAGAAATTGTTCATGGTGAAATTAGTAAGACTGTGGAAGAGGGACATAGAAAAGCCCTAAATTTTGGGCTAAATTAACAAAACTCAAGAAAATAGTCTATGTGAATAGTTGATGCCATAATCCTGGGTCTTTCCACTGAACGGCATCGCTTTGTGGTGAGAAAAGCCTCGCAGCCCCCATGCAGGGTTTGCAGACCGAAGCGGTGCGTAAAGGCTGTAAAAGAGCTTTTAAGCTTCACCAGGTGCTGTCATTTGTCACTGCCTGGCTCCTGGTGTGACATTAAACTGTGAGGGAAACCTGTCCCCATCCCTGTGCAGGATTCCTGTGAGCTGGAAGAGAAAAATGCCTCTCCACTCCTGAGATAAGGGCTTTTATCCACAGTTGTGTGGCAATTAATTGGAGGAGGATGGATCACCGACATAACGAGGCAGGAGTTTATCGTGCCAGAGTGCACCAAGTTGGGTGGCTCGGCTCTCAAGAGATAGGAACTTAATGATTAAACCCGTTTCCTCACACTGATGAGGAAATTATGGGCGATTTAAACGCACAATCACCCACTGTTGCTAATGGCCCACTATAAAATGTACTCTCATTTTACAGTGGATGTCCACTTTGTCAGGAAATGTTGTCGGAGCATCCCAAGAGGCTGCACCATGGAGAGCCGCTGTGTTGTCCATGCGGCTGTCATACCTCTGAATTTGAAGGGAAGACCTTATTTTTTGTAATGTCTCATCTTCTCAAAGCTCTGCAATCAGTTCCTCAAAGCCAAGCCCTACCCGGGCTGTAATCCAACAGAGTGATAAGAGGAGGTTTGGGTTAAGGCAATAAAAAGCCTGTTGGTCAAAGCTTGGAGTAAGCAACAGAACAGCAAGTTCTGGAAAAAAACCAGGAATGACTTGAAAAGAACATTATTTAGGATGTCTCCCAGTGGAGAGGGCTGCGAATTGATTCAGAACGCTTTAATTTTATGAGCCAGTTTTAGATTTACAGATTTCCCACAGCATGCGAGGGTGAATTCAGAGCATATCTTCCAAAGACAGCGTGCCGCTGCTCCCTTGACCATACATAGAAGCAAAATACCAAACTGGCACTCAAAACTCAGAGAGCTGCCAAGAGATAGGCCATCCAAAGTGATAAATACATAGGGGACAAGGCAAACCTGCCATATATGGATGTGAGAATGAGACAGCACGACCCGTATCGTACGTACGCGGTGGGAACGTTTGCCCTTGGCACTGGTTGTGTGGCACATTGATTTTTAGCTATCGGGGAGTTTATGGGGTTGGGATTTTCACCTGCTGCAGTTCCCTGTGCAAAGCTGGTTTTTGCTTTTTCTTATTCCAGTTTGCTGTATGTAAATCCTGCAGAGGGTCAATGGCCAAGTTTATGCCATGCCTCAGCCTCTGCTTTTACTCTCTTTTCTGGATGCTTTGGGAGCTGAGTCATCGGTCCTGTTAGTGCTTTATGTTCTTCCAGCTCTTCTGACTCTGCACATCTTGGAGGGCGATGTGCAATAGAGAAGGTTTGATCTTTCCACAAGTGTTAATCTCCCTCCGTACTCGGTGTTGTCTTACGTGGTAATACCTGTCCAAAAATGACACCACTCAACGGGCACGATCCTTCTGTTTTTCCTAGAAAGAAGGACGTGAACTGTCCTGGATAATTGGTGGTGATTTACCTTAATTCGGGAAAGCCTCTGTTTTTCAAGCAGCTGGGTGAATAAACTTTGCTGAGGTGGCTGGTCACCAGCAAAGAGCTTCACCACAGCAGTTTCTCTGGTGCAGACCCAAGAGGCCCTGGCTGGAAAATTGTCCTGAATTCAGCTTTGGCCCTGGATAATCTCCCAGGCATGGCTCCACTGCAGATGGGAGTGGTGGAAAGGCTGCTGCTGTGGTGGTGGTGGATCTTCTTACAGATCAGGCCTACGACACACCTGCAAGATCTGGTCCACATATATTTTCTCCATAGTCTGTCCATAAGAGGCACAGAAATGTTTCGTACAGAATCACAGAATATGAGGAGTTGGAAGGGACCTCGAAAGCTCCCCCAGTGCAACCCCTGTCAGAGCAGGATCACCCAGATCAGGTCACACAGGAACACGGCCAGGCAGGTTTTGAATGTCTGCAGAGAAGGAGACGCCACAACCTCTCTGGGCAGCCTGGGCCATGCTCTGCCACCCTCACACTCACAAAGTTTGTCCTCATCTTCAGCTTGAACCTCCTGTGCTCCAGCTTGGGACCATTGCCCTTTGTGCTGGCATTGGCCATCCCAGAGCAGAGCCTGGCTCCTTCCTCCTGACACTGCCCTTTCCAAATGGATCCTCAGGAATGAGGGCACCCCTCAGTCTCCTCTGCTCCAAGCTCAAGAGCCCCAGCTCCCTCAGCCGCTCCTCAGCAGGAGATGCTCCACTCCCTCCAGCATCTCTGTGGCCCTGCTGGACTCTTTCAAGCAGTTCCTGTCCTTCTGGAGCTGAGGGCCCAGCACTGGACACAAGATTGCAGCTGTGGTCTGACCAGGGCAGAGCAGAGGGGCAGGAGAACCTCTCTCTCTGCCCTACAACCACCTCTTCTCATCCACCCCAGGATGGCATTGGCCTTCTTGGCTCAAGGGCACGTTGCTGGCTCAAGGTCATCTACTTTTTTTATTCCCTGGTTTTCGTTGATGCTTGTGGGGGCAGTAAATCTCCAGATATAAAATAGAGGCATTTTAATAAATTGAAATAATGAAATCTTTTCCAGAGCTCCAGTATCTGCAAAACTGCGGTGCACGCAGGAGTCATTCCAGATGAAAGCGGTGGTTTTGTGGATGTGATGCCTGTTGAAAAGAAGAAAAGTTACGTTGGCTCCTTAAAGAACGGAGTCCAGTCCGAGAGGTGGGATTTTTTTCTTTGTACTTTCTTCTTCTTCTCTGCTGTGTGTTCAATTGCATGTCAAAGTCAGCAGATATCAGCCAGAAAGGCTGGTGGATTGGAAATATGTGATTTAACCGTGTCACTGTGGATTTTGAGATGCAAACAAATGGAGCGTGTTGTCCTGCTCTTACCTTCCCCAAGTGAGTGGCTGCTTTCAGATTGGTGTGAAAAGTATGAAATGTTGTTAATCCATCTTTTATTTTATGACAGTACGGGTTCACGTTAATACATTTTGTACTATGTGTTTATCACATTAAAAGATAAGTATGGATATTTCCACAGCTGTCAGCCTGGGCCATGCTTTGAGGGTGATAATTGGAATTTCCATTCAATTCTGGAGTGTGGGATGCTTTTGTATTTAACTGATTGCCTCTGTTCTCCTTGAAAGAATTATGAGTAAATTAACCTCTTGGGAGATGATAAAACAGTTTCTGAAGATGGGATGGTCGCCCCTCTGCTTTTTTTGTAGTTTATTTTGGGCTAACCTGCTGGCTTCAGTGTATAATTGCAAACCAGTGCTTCCAAAATCCTGCGCCTCTGGATGATGGCAATGATAGGGTCACTGCTCCTTCATTCCTTTTTGATTTGAAACGTCTATTTCAGTCTGTGATGTATTTTTTCAGGTATTGGTGTGACGGTACTGATTTCTCGGAGCTATCTTTGCAAACATAGAATTTCCCACTGTTTAAGTCACTGCTAACATGGCTCTGTCTGCTCTGGGTAGTTCGTCGTTTATAATTATAAGAAATCCAAACAAGTTTTCTATCTTTATTGTAGTGATGGATATCCCAGAATGCTGTAGAGCTTCTCAGAAAATAAAAATAGACTAAGGCTGGAAAGCTATAGGCATTAAGTTTGGGCTTCTTTAGTATAGATGTACCATGATCAGTGTCTTTCTGTTGTGTGATTTCCAATTCAGTAGATTGGATTTTGGTGAAAAACCTCCTGTTTCTATGAGTTTCCTTCTATCTCTGTCTTGCTTTCAATCGTCTTTTATAAGACCAGACAACTTTTTACTTGGACGGCAAAAATCTGTCCTAGCTAAGAATAAACCCAGCTGCTGGCAGTGATGTGCAATATGAGCACCAGGTGCTGATCTGGGAGGTGAGGGAAACCAAAGACCTTCTCGCAGCAGGGATGAGCACGAAGGTTTGGAAAGTGTTATTTATACTGAGCCATCAGGAGCACCTTCGTGCTGTGAGATCCACTGGACGGTGAAATAGCTTTTCAAAGATCAAGGTGAAAACCTTACCCCTTAGGACACTGGAAATAAGCTTTGGTAAAGACACACACTCAAACAGGCACGGGAAAACATCACCTTTAAGTTTTACTGAGTCTTTACACTTGTTGGAATGTTTATTTTGTGGGAATATGAAAGTTTGCCTTTTTTCCTGGGGTTTTGCAGCCCAGCAGGGCTGAAGAAATAAGGTCTGGGAACAGAAACAACCCCTCGCCCCCGTGCATACAGCCACCCCCAGCAGCTTGGAGTGGGAGCTGTTGGGGTCACCTCTGCAGATTTGAGAATGAATATCCATATTTATTATTTATCGTCACTTAATGTGAGCTGACCTGGCTGCTCCCATTGCCAGCAGCAAAGGAACGGCCAGACAGGCCCTGGGAACCTGCCAGCCTATTTGACAACTGCTTTTAGGAAAGCACATTCCTCCCTGTGCCTGAATCCCTGCGTAAGGGAGCACAGTGTTCCCTGGATAAAAGCAAATGCTGTAAGAGAGGCTCTTGCTTCCCAGCGCCTTTTATTGGCATCAGCACGGTAGATTTGGATGAAAGCGTAAAACAAAAGTGAACTCGTGGATTTGCGCCTGTTCTTTTTCATCCTTTATCTTTACTCCTGCTTTTGGTAGGGTCATATCAGCACAGACCCAGTGTACTGAAGCAGTGAAGGTGTTGAAGGTCTATCACCCCTTGGGTCCTGCAGTGCCTGCATTTGGTTCATTACACGTTGGGGTTTTTTTGTCTTTTCTCTCTTTCTCCAGCTTGAAGAATCCTTCGGATGGAAACGCTTTCCGAATTTTTGCCGTGAAGCAGTAAATTCCTAGGGAGGGGTGCAAGTTTCTTTGGGAGAGTGCTCTGTTGATCTCCAGAGACAGGAAGGCTCCTCTGATGGCACCAGCTCTGACCGTACCCTCCTTGCCGATCTCTTTCAGGGAATTTCTATTAAAAAAAAAAAAAAAAAAGGAAAAGGAAAAAAAAAAAAAAAAGACACCAAGTCCTGACTCAGCTGTTCGCATCTCATCGCACCCGTTCAGCGTTGTATCTTTCCGTTTGCGTGGGGTTTTTTTGTGTTTCTCTAGGGGCATTCAGCAATGATAAACTTCCTAACTTCCAGTTTATGACAGAGGTGTGCTACACAGAACGGCGGTGGGTCGACGTGCAGCAGCCGCAGGGGACTCGGCGCGCGCCAGCCGCAGGGATCTCGGCCCGGCCCGGGTGACACGTGTAGGGTGTGGAGCATCTGCTGCCATGGGCGTCAGGACGTGCGCTGCTGAGCAGACCCAGGAGGGACCGACTTGTCCAGGTGCTGGACCCTCCCAAATGAGAAACTGTTTCAAAAGTTGCATTATTTTGAGGAGAGGCTGGGTTTTGCTAGCGTGTTTTTGTGTACATCTGATGTTTTCTGTGCAAAAGAAGAGAATATTGGGTGTTTTCCCAACGAGGTGGCATGCGTCAGCACCGCTGTGTAAGGCTGCTGGGGCATCGCGCTAGGCTACATTGGTGTCACATTTGGGGAGAGGGCTTTCTTGTCGGCTGGACTTCAAGGATTTTGGGGACTAGAGGAGGGCATGAAATAGTGGCAGAGATCCTCGCTGCAGAAAATGAGGCCGCCAGATAATCAAAGCAGCAGGTTTAGTGTTTGCTGGTCAAACATTCGCAGGGGTTTTGCAAGTGTGGCAACCTATGAGAAGTCAGTGAATGGGGGGGGCTCCTGTGCTGGCACATCTCATCCTATCCTGCACGCCATTTCAAATAAAAGTTCAGTTAAATGCAGTGTATTTTATACAGCAGTGCTGGTTGTTTTATCTGTAGTAGTTAAGTAGTGATAAAGTTAACCTTATTTCTGCTAGGAATGGTTGCATCCATAGGAGGCATGTTCACTTCACCTTCGTGAAGCTCTTTGTGGTGTGTGCAGTTCTGAGACTTTAGAGATGTGGCATAAATTGGGGTAGATCAATTTTTCCTGTTCAATTTGTGACACCGACAGATCTCGATTTTCAGTGTAAACGCTGTACCCGTGAGCATTTGTCATCCAGGATGGTGTGTGTTGCAAAACCCATAGCTGTTGTAAAGATGCTGTTTAATATTTTCTTAATTTATGTCTCAACATGCATCCAAATGCATTCCAAAGCCAAGAGAAGAGCATAGCATAATCCTACTTTTTAGGGCAGGAGAGTATTTTCTGCTTCCTATTGGAAAGGAATTTTTAGAATTGGTCTAAACACAAATCTGGTCGTGTTTTGATGCACACACATCCAGTAACTTCATTATTCATGAGAAGGCAGCGTAAATTTTCGTTCTCCAGTTCCTGTAAATGCATAGTTCTTCTGCTCCATAACTCGATTGTAAGATTGTATAACAAATGGGAAAGTATTTCCGTCTATTTGGCAGATGTCTCATAGCTGCTCTTACGCTCAGGCTATGTTTGGTTTAATCTAGACGGATATAAAAGCCATCTCTTCAAGCTGCTTCAAAACACAGCCCAGAAATGTTTATATGATTAAGCACTTCTTTAATTCTGTAAACACCGTGAAATCAGCAAGGAAATTACTTTTGTCGCTCGGTTTGCCTCACCGATGGGGCTGCTTGCTTTCTGAAATCCGAATTTGGAAAGAGACCTTTTGTAAAATATGAAATTGGAGCTGCTTTGCGTTGTCTCCAAAAGTGCTGCACAGCAAACCTACCTTTGGGGTGGACAGAGAGAAATGACTCCATGTGTTGTCTTTGTTTCTACAGTGTCACCTTCCAAGGTGTACAGTATTTGCTTTAGATAGGAGAACTGAACTATTTTTTTTCTTAAAAGATGTTAAAAACAGCTGGAACAAATCTTAGAAAAGCTGCTGGCTGGAAGCGTTTGAGATCTTGGCAGTGAGATAAAGCTTCCCTGTTCCTGCCCACTGTGAATACTGATGCTATACGTGGTCTGGTTCAAGCCCATTAAGTACTGCAGCATGGATCGAGGACCATCGTGGGCCGAATGGTAGCCACAGCGCTATTGATTGAATTGGAAAGTGTAAGAGATGCCATTGGGTTTGGGGATTGCAAAAGCACGTAAAACGCCTCGATGCTAATGTAGGATCCCACCTCTGCTGTGCTGGCCGTGACAATTCCGTGTGCTGTAAAACGATGGAAAGAAATGTGAGGGCTTTTGGAGAGAAGTCCAGGGGATTATCATGAGCACATAAAAATCCAAACAGCTTGGGATGTATCTACCTGATGAAAAGGGGCAAGGGAAGAATTGTTATTCCAACAGAAATAGCCTAAAGTGCTTAATTCAAGTTACAATTGCGTATTTTTGTCTTCAGCCAACTGGTTTGGATTTTTAGAAACCGATGTTAATTTAAGTCTGTATCTGTTTATTTTTATATTTGTTGTACAAAAGAGAAATTGTGACTTTACTACACAAATATTATTCGAGGTCCTGGGTGCTATTAATTTAAACATACCTCCACCAGCATTAGGGGCGATCAGGTCCTCCAAGGCAGTCATGATATATCAATTACTTGCAGTCGTGTGTGCTAGCTATTCGTACATAGGCGGGACAGTACCAGTTTTTAGCCAAATATTTAGTGATTTTATTTCTGATACCAAAACATTTCTCAGCCTAATATATTTCAATGCCGCTTAAAGATGCAGCACGTCTTTTTATCACCAGATTCGTTTCTCCTTAGACCCCAGCTCAGCAGATAAGTGAGCCCGTGCCGACGTGAAGCAGCCGGGTGTAGCCTTGCTGGAGCCTCTGGTTAAAGGCCTGGCGAAGCCAATGCTGCCTGGTGGTTCTTTTCCCATCAATTTAGTTTTGAAATCAAGACAGCCAGTGCAGACACTGCCATCGCAGAGCATCTGCCTCAGCACAGCCGAATCCAGGAAACACAACCAGCGTGAAAGCCGAAGCGCGGCGTTTCCCCCGCTGCCATGTGCTGCCGGGTCCGTTGGCTCCATTAATTTCTTGATTTTAAGACTTTCAGCCACCAGCTGATTGAGGAGTCTCCAGTTGTCAGTTGTGCAGTCTAAATATTTAGGGCCAGTTCATAGAGTTGCTTTTTTTTTTTTTTTCTATGAAAAAGGATGTATTTTACTTCCTATGTATAAAAGTTCCTTGTAAATTTTTGCGTGCCTTTGCATGTTTTTCAAGGGGCCGTGTGTTTGTTTATAAACCGTAATATTTTTTCTTTTTTCTAAATACAGAATTGTAAAATATCTTCCCTCTCCCTCCATTTTCTTTTAATTTCTGAATTATTTGTGAAATAAAACCTTCCCAGAATGAATGCTTCCCTTGTCTTTAATGCTCAGCCGGAGCTGGGGTTGAATTTAGAAGAGCTATTTGGGATTTCTCCTGGGGACTGGAGGATGCCCTGGAGAGCCCAAGCGAGATCGGGATGTGCAGAGTCTATTCCACAAACAAATAAATAAAGCTGCCCAGTACCCAGGCATTAAAAGCCAAGCTTTACCCCATCAAGAATAAGATGTATCCTGTCCTAAAACATGCTGGGAGTAAGGGAAAAATCAGTGTCTGGCTTTAAGTCCCTGTGATATAAGGCCTGAAGTAGGTTAATGGGCTGGAAAAAGTGTTTAATGAAGGAGTGCTGCAAAATACAACTGAGATGAGCTCCTCCTCACCTGACCAGGCTGTTGTTTAATGCCCCTTATTTTTTTTTTAAGGGAAAAATATACAGAGGTTTTTTTTCTAACTCCCCTTGATTTTTTTTTCTCCAAGCTCATACTTGCCGACAGCACCACAAATCAACCCAAGTTGTTTCACGGTAATTCAACACCATCTTGGTTAAAAAAGCATTAAGCCAAGGAGGTTTACAACTCAGCCTTCAGGCAATGAGCACCATATGGCTTTTGACCAAAAATCTGGGCTGAGCCGCAGGAGGGAGTCCTGATTGACAAGGAGGCCATGAAATTTTATGTTTTCCATTACCTACACAAGATCAACATAAAATACAGAGATATTTGTACTACTCCAGGGCTGGCCTGATGCAGTTATGGTTGAGGGGTTAGTACCTGTAAAAGCCACACGAAGGACTGACGTGATAACACCATTATTGAGCTGCCGATGATTTCTGCAGTAGGTAAGCTTAGCAACTATTGCACCCAAAATTTAAGGCTGATTTTCGCATCCTTTGCGTTAACTTCAATCCCTTTGATGCTGGCTGTAGTTTTGCTAACTGTTGTCTCCTCCTGCTCGAGCCATGTGCTTTACCCTGTGCTTGTCAACAAAAAAAGGGTGCTATCAGGAGTGCTGTGTGTGAGCAGCATTGCAGACAAAAAAACACGTCTTCCTTCTGTACAGAAGGTGTGTGAATCAGGTAAGTGAAGACTAAGAGCAATGCACAAAGAGGTTGGAGCAAATTTTATTTTGTTTTTTTCCCCAACTGGGAGTGGGATTCAGGTTCATCCACTAGTGCAAAAACCATCAAAACTGGAAAGCTGAATGTAAGTAGAGTGGAAAGAGAAGCCCATATAGATCAGATTGAGGGTGGCAGTCTACGGAAGGAGTGGATCTGATACCCCTTTTTTCCCCACTTTGCTGGTAATCCAGCAGGATGCAGGGCTCTCCCTGCTCATGGTTTCAGGAGAAATGCCTTGTTGCCCATTGCTCTGCCTTCTGCTGCCTGCTCCTCATCCCACGCTGAGCTCATCGGAGGCTATGTATAGCGTGGGCATACCTTGGGATGGGTGTTCTTCCAAAAACCCACAGTCATTTATAGGATGCACCCAGGCGATGTTTTCAAAGCCATTTTGCAAACGACAGGGTTGGTTCTCATTTACACTAAGGACCTGCTTTAAGGCACTTAGGAGACATTTATGCCACTTCAGGGTGTGGACAGAGCAGTGCAAAGAAGCCTCAGTGTAAATAGCAACCACCCTTATATCTTGTTGACAGTGGTTAAAATAGGGTCACAGAGTTAAATCAACAGACAAGGTCTCCCTTATGCTGCTCTCTTCAGCAGTGTTTGCTCCT